CATGAGTTCTGAGTCATCTTTGTAAAAACCCCCAGCTGTAAATTGGGTACCCAGTGCATCACTACCAAAGTTCAGAATCAGTTCAATCATGGCCCGATAAGAATAGCAATGATGGCTCTGTGTAATGAGCCGATCTCCCAAAGTAACATCCAGCTGGTTAAATAGTGATGCTATAGGGTAGTTGGTCAGGCCCACCCTTGCCCCATCATCAATATCCGTCCCATCCGCCTTTACAATCTTGCAACTCACATACAGCAGAGTGTTGTTTAAATCCGTGTAATGCTCACCATGCCCCGTGATAAAAAATTCCAGGGGTGCGTTGGGTGTTAGCGCTGATAAAGGAGGGATCTCGACATAGGTACTGTTTTCAATACTGGTCTGTGTAGGCGCCAGTTGAAAAAGATCCAGTTCTGATTTAACACATTCCTCTGAAGCAGAATGAATAAATGACATATTGTATTAGAATATGTCTTCCTTGTCACAGAGCTTCCTCTTCTGCGCACGTCTCCTCTTGGTATGACGGGCCTTTTTCACAAGTCTTCTCTTTTTAAGCGGAATAGGCGGGCCCGATGCATAATTCTTCCTGGCTATGAACAACCCTGATCCAGCCTGCCCCCTATCAACAACTTGGGATACAAGATTCCCCGCAACATCTCTGACAATGTTTTTGGCAGCAGATTTCACATGCGGCTTAATGATTTCTAACCCACGCCTCAAAAAAGGCATTGCTTTTCGAAAAAGCCCACGGAACAGACCCCCTAACCCTGTCCCGTACATAATGGGGGCTCCTCGGAAGCCTGGAAGGCCTCCACCGGCTTGTGCCCTGTAGTAAGCCACGTAGTCTTGAGGGTTCCCGTGCTCCTTGATTACAACCATCCTTCACTTTTCCGAGGCCTAAAATGAAGCTTGACAATCACCTTCCCGTTATAAAAACGCACGTTTTTGTCCTGGTCGGTTTTGATTTCTATAGTAACGGTATCGATGTGATGTTTGCTGACTGGTACATAATGTGGACGGTCATAGGTTATTGTGATGAAATCATTGTCTTGCCCTTGCACAGGCACACAGCGCAGTAATGGCACATAGTAGTCACCCACTATCTGGAGCTCTACAATGTCTGTGTAAACATATAAGGTGTTGAATCCAGGGAATGTACTTAACAGATGTCCAAGTTCTCCGCTAACTAGAATGGTATGCGGTTCATCACCTTTAAGGTTAATTTTTCGACCCACTGCATCATACTGTAGGGTTGTCTTAGGGCCGTCCTTGGCACTTGATATAAGCTTGTTCATATTTTCTAACAGTTGTCGGATGCTAGTATAGTATCCGCTTCTCAAAGAAAAATGCCATCTCTTTCTCTCATTAGCAATTTCAAAATATCCAGGAGAAGTTAATGTGTGCCAACTATGCGGATACTGTATCTCTGCTAGCCCTACTTCCCATGACCCTGGAAGATCCAATGATCTTGCTAATTGTATAGTAAAATTAGAATTTCTGTTTTGGGGGAAAATTGCTGCTGACGCATTGCTGGGAAGGGTGATGTAAAACTCTGCCATATCAAAGATGTTGTACTTCAGTCTCCTTAACCCAACTGTTGAACTTCTCTGGCCATCCAGTCCATTTGACTAGAAATTCTCTGTGTCTCCCCCGCCCTCTTTTTTGGATAATTTTCTCTATTCTGTATATGCGCTGTTGGTCAGCAGGAACCTTTTGGAGCTCCTCAAAGTAAAAAGCCCCCTTTACAGGGTCACCAGTGTAATCATTTAATCTATACACCGCTCTTTCCCCCCTTGTCTGCAGTTCTTTGACGATGAATATCTCATCCGTATAGGTTTGCTGATAGCCCTTTTCAAACTTACCCTTCAGTCTGGATACCCTGACATGATCCCCCATCTTAAGACATTTTTCCTTTCTTTTTCTTTTTAAAGTTGCCCCATAAAGCCTCATCCACACACCCCTTTCGTTAGACAAATTTACGGTGTTAGGAGCAGTACCGATGCTACGATGGTAAGAGCTATTGTACCCCTGAATAGTATCTGCTAAAATGTCCACATACCGGTGGGTATTTCTAGCTGTGAAATATCTCCAGAGTTTGTTTTTTAGGGTTCTATTAAACCTCTCTATAACGGCTGCTTTAGTTTCGCTATGAGTGACAAAATGATGAATGCCGTAACGTGCTAAAAGTTTCTTCAGTGGAATATTCAAGAACTCTTTACCTGCATCTGTCTGTAATTTTCGGGGTGCACGTCCTGTTTGAAAGATATTCTGGAAAGCGGATGTAACTTCCCTCCCTGTTTTATCAGATAAAGGGGAGGCCCAGGCATATTTAGATAACACATCGATAACTGCTAAGATGTACTTTTTTCCATGATTCTCTTTAGAAAATTTGGAGACATCTATGAGGTCAGCCTGCCATTGATGATCTAAGCCAGACACTACTGTTTTATTTCTAGGAAAATTAATTCTTGCAGGCTTATGAAGCGTATAAGCGTCTTCCCCTGACAGCCACGTCTTGACTTGCTTCATGGTCAGGTTTTTATCATGTTTTCTAGCTTCCTGAAAAAGGGCATTCACACCTCCATAACTCCCTACACACCCCGGAGTATAATAAATACGACTTAAAAGCTTTTCATGCATCGTTATACTGAAAGACCACTGACAAATGTTCAAGTGTTGACATTAACACAGTCTTTTATTGGTTATACAGAATTCAGAGGGTGCACGGCTCCGCCATCAGAAAAATATCCCTCATCACCACTATCAGAATCAGAAGATAATACTATTTTATAATACTCTGACCCGTCTGAGCCCCACAAATCACGTCCGCAGTCACAAGCAAACCAGTCTTTACACAAATTGCAGCTCTTTAACTCACAAGGTAGATAGCGTGGTCTCTGGGATAGCTCATAATCCCTGTTACAGTCTAGATCAGAGAAATCTGCAGAAGCTTTCTGACCATGGCGATTACCACAGGAATCTAAAAGCGGGGTGTCTTGAAGTGTTTGCTGTCTAGGTATTACTAATTCAGAGTCTGCAAAATATAAAGCACATCCTGTTAGCGGTGTATCCGCTCCAGCACCATTTACATTATCATAAATAAAAACATATTTACTTACCATTTGATGTTTTGCAGAATCTGCAATAACAAGGTTTTATAAGTTTGTTCTCTTCAATGAAACTGTATAACTCAGGTCCTTTTCTTATTCTGTGCCCACGCTTGGGTGGTTTGGGGGTCAAATTTACATCAAACAAATCTCCATCAGAGGCTGCCATCTTCAAAAGACTGCTGGGGTTAAATCGCTAGCTGTTCAGGCCTGCCCACACAAACTCCCCTGCCCCTTGCAATGACACGCCCTTGAGCATTGCGCATGCCCAGATCACGGGGAGCAAACTCCCCTGCCCCTTGCAATGACACGCCCTTGAGCATTGCGCATGCCCAGATCACGGGGGGCATGACATGCCCGGGCATGTCCCTGCCCGCGCAAACTCCCCTGCCCCTTGCAATGACACGCCCTTGAGCATTGCGCATGCCCAGATCACGGGGAGCAAACTCCCCTGCCCCTTGCAATGACACGCCCTTGAGCATTGCACATGCCCAGATCACGGGGAGCATGACATGCCCGGGCATGTCCCAAACAAGGCCTAACCCCCCTTTTTTTACTAGCAGACAGACAGAAACACACATGGCTGCTTGCTGCTTGCCTCTTGTGAGCCTGGTTGGCTGCTTGCCTCTTGTGAGCATTTTAATTCCTGTTAATATTCCTTGTCTTTTGCTATAGTGGGAAGGGGGGCAGAATAAATTTTATTCAGGGTACAAATGGCAAAATATGTGTGTTTAGATTTTTTACAAAGGTAAAAACCAGCTGTGGGTTTTAAAAGGGGCTGTGTTTGTTTGTTTTTCCCCCTGCATTCGAGGAAATGCTTTTAAAACCACCTAGACATAAATACCTTTTAGAAAAAAATATCTTTTAGAAAAAAGGGGTTAAATGCAGGCTCTGGCTGCCTTTCAGGGGCTTCTTTTTCCCCAGCTTTTGAGGCACTGATTTTTAAAACTCCACAAAAATTAAAAGCATCGTTAGGCTAGAATGATTAGAAATAAAAAGCCTTTTTTTATTTTTTATTTCACAGCTCCCCAAAGTAGGGCTTGTTTCCCAAAAACACAGGCCTCTGCTAATTATTCACTTAGCTCTTTTGGGTTTTGAATGTCCATAGAAATAGTCTAGGGTTAACAGCTCCCCAAAGTAGGGCTTGTTCCCCAAAAACACAGGCCTCTGCTAATTATTCACTTTACTTAGCTCTTTTTGGTTTTGAATGTCCATAGAATTAGTCTAGGGTTAACCTAATCATGTACCCAGAGGATTGACTGCCAATCTTGATGGGATTAGGCCAAAACGTCACATCCGGAGGGTGGGGGCTGAGCACGTCACTTCCTTTTAGGGCTGTGCCCTGTTGACGTAATCAGCACGTGGGTTTGTTTACTTTGATGACGTCACTGATCAAAAGTGCTGATAATTTTCATTAAAAAAAGGTATACACTACTTCTACTTGTAGGTAAGGCTGTTTCTCATCTGAATGTCTTCTGGTGAACTTAGCTATAAGCCTGAGAAGGAACTTACAAAAGATGATTAATTTTTTTTAACCTGATTTGTGTAACAGCTTACAAAACAAACCACCAATGAGTGCTTTGCAACCAAAAGAAAAAAAAAGAACACTTTGCTATTTTAAAATTATGCCTGTATTCGATGTGCAGGAACTATATCACCTTGTTCAAGGATGATTCAAGGCCAGAATAAAACAACTGTTCACATTCTGGTTATGTTTCTGTGGGCTGTATGTTTGTTGAAAAGAACATACCAATATTTAGTTCTTCCAACTTCTCTTTGGGGAGAGTTTTAGCCGAGCATAGGATGGCTTACTGCATTTTTAAAATAATTACTTTTAGAAAGAAAAGCAGAGATCAGAAGAAATTAGAATTATTAATAGTTGGATTTCTGTCCCAGGATGGCAAGTAAACAACTAGATCCTGAGGGAGAAAATGAAGAGGAAGAAGGATCTGAGGCAGATCTCCACACACAATATTCAGACAGCAGCTATGTATCTGAAAGCCCAGAAATGTGTGGTGGTGGTGGCGGCGGTGGTCATCCTACTCCTGAGGATGAAAATCGAGCATCCGTTTACTCCATGAAAAGCCAAGAACTTGATTTTGACCATCTGGTTACCTGCACATTCTCGGTTTCATTGGCTGTCCCACTTACTCTTCCAAGTAAGTAAATGGCATTGTGAGTTCTTTTGAGCATGTCATGCAGGGTTTACCAAGTACTGCATAGGAGACTTGAGCATAGAAAGGCCCTTACATTTTTGTCATAATATTTAAATAAATCTGCACCAGGGGTAGGCAACCTTGGCTCTTTTATGACTCGTGGACTTCAACTCCCAGATGCTGGCTCAGGAATTCTGGGAGTTGAAGTCCACGAGCCATAAAAGAGCCAATGTTGCCTACCCCTGGTCTATACTATACCAAATTAATGTTATAAATCCAATCCATTGCTGATCTTTGGAATATAAAGATGTGAAAATTGTATTGATTCTGTTTCAGCACAATTTAACTTCTGCAAAGCACTGATACAGATGGGAGTGGTACAGTAGATATGGATAAATGTCACACACTGCATTGGCTTTTTTTTGCAATTCCTGAGGTCTGGTTTATTAAATATTTGTTTGGGTGTGGAAATAAGTATCTAGCTGTATCTATAGCTATACCTAATGCAACACGTCCTAGGGATCCTATAGCTATTTCTGGGGAAAGTGAAATGACTCTGGTGCTGCCTATTCAGCATCTAATATTGGTACAGATTGCTGTTGGGAAGGATGAATGAGGATGGATGTTTATTTGAGCATCTTTTGGTAATTTTATCTGATATGTATGGATACATTTACAAATATTTAATCAAAGCTATGAGATAACTAAATATTGTTGTGTTTTCTTTACAATATTTGAGGCTTTGGAATATAACCTATGCAGATTAATTATGTAAATATGTTAAGTAAATATGTTAACTATGTTAAGGTTATACTTTTGGAGGTAAAATGCCAATCTTGGAGATTCTTAATAAAATAGAACAATTCTAACAGCAACACTGTCACTTTTGCTCTTCCAATCTTGTTTTCTATTTTTATTTATTTTCAGTAACTAAACCTTGGCAGTCTTCTAAACCAGAGATACAAAGATCTGGATCTAAAGCAAAAGAAGGATTTATTCCAAAAATGCATCGTTTTTATCATATGGAGTATTTTCTTCTACCAGATGATATTGAACCTCGAAAATTAGATTTGGTATTGTTTGGTCCAGTGGCTAAATTATTTCTGGATACAGAATCTAAGGTAAAAAAAAGATAAACTGTTTATTGTTTTGCTATTCTTAAATAATCATAATACATTCCTGAAGTTTGGAAATACTGTATTCCAGTTTTATATTATATCACCAATGTTGTTAAATATTGGAGAAATGAAATTCAGTAGGTGGAAAGTTGAATTAGACTACTGTGATTTCTTACTTTTTATGACAAGTGTTCTACCAGATAATTATGAAGAATATGATAAAGATAGGATTAAAGCTTGGCAGAATGTGGTCTATGTCAAAGAAAATTGGAGATTAGAAAACCATTCTGAATATCAGAATGGAGTAAATTCAACAGATGAACGTTTAGAATGAAGAAACTAAAGTAGATAACTTCCTTGGTTGGATGGATTTGTCAGAGGCTGTTTTATCTTAATCAGAAACCCCATGCAGGTTCTTCTGGTTTACATTCAAGAGAATTTAGTTTCAATTCAAAGCAGCCCCTTTCCACCTAACATCAGCGCCTAAGGTAAAGATGGGCTCGTGGGCCATTTAAGAGCCCAGAGGGTGAAAAGTCATGTTTTATCCTACCTACTTGATCTACTTGGCACAATGTCCTCTATAGAAAATCACCATGGAAGATTGGCTAACTTGCTAACACTTTGTATAGGAAGAATGACATGTGCATCTGGAGATTTTTTAGTAAGTTTTTAATAAGATCATGCCCTTCTTTTGATCTGTTTCTGAGAGTGGGACAGCAAGAAGATGAAACACTTCTTCAGATTTCAACAGAACACAGAGGATTATGCTTGGTGGCATTGTGGCTGGAAGGACATCTGTATGCCTTTCTTCACTTTACAGTGCTATCCAAGGGATGCTATCCAAGGGATGCTTAAGACATGAATAATTCTTATCATGTCATTCTGACCCAGGAAGCTGTAATACTCTAATAAAGAGATGAGACAGGAGCAACTATGGCATCTTCTGAAAACTCTCTACATTCTGCATCAGGCTCTAGAATCACATTTGACAACAGAGATCATCTTGGCCCCAGAAAAATGAACATCACCAGAATGAATCAGTTGGCTTGGAGCTTTTTTAATACAAGTAGTCCTTGACTTAAAATCACAACTGGGCCCCAAATTTTTGTGGCTAAATGGAACATTTGTTAAATGATTTTTGCCCCATTTTATGACTTTTCTTGCCACAGTTGTTAAGTGAATCACTGTAGTTGTTAAATTAGTAACACGGTGGTTAAGTGATCTGGTTTTCCCATTGATTTTTCTTATCAGAAGGTCGCAAAAAGTGATCACATGACCCTGGGACATTGCAATGATCATAAATGTGAGTCAGTTCCCAAGTGTCTGAATTTTGATCACATGACCATGGTTGTAAGTGTGAAAAAGGGTCAAAAGCCACTTTTTCCAGTGCTGTTGTATCTTTGAGCGGTCACTAAGTGAACTGTTGTAAGTCAAGGATTACCTGTAATAGTGTAGAAGACAGAAACTAGTAGCATTGGCAGCAGGGGTCCCTGAAATATTAAGCTATTGCTTTAACATGGAGTTATTTTAGAGTCTTGTATATGATTAAGAGGTACCACTTACATAGCTTTCTCATATACACCAATTCATTTTTGTTTCACTATTTTCTTTGTCTTTGACACTTAAGATATTAGTGGCTGTTCCTCTTGAACCCATTACACATATTACCTCTAACATTTTTAAGAAGGCAACCATAGTTGGGAGGATTGAAGAATCTCTGCATGTTCCACCATACAAAATGATCCTAAGGCCAGTTTCCTGATCTTTGCCCAAAGTCTATTTCCATGTTCCATTGAGCACAAAAGATTGGCTTTTATAATATAAGTCTGGGCCCAATCTACTCCAGAGAGTGGCACTTGGCTTAACATAGATGTGAGCATTTGGATGTCTTCTAAAGTATATTAGAGAGATGAAGAGATGTTTATCTCTTACAAAAAGGAATGAAGGGACAGTTGTTTTTCCTTGCACAATTAACGGATGAGTTTGAGAGGCAAGATACCACTCCCAGTTCATGGCACCCTTTATAAGAGGGACAGCTATGTTGTTAGTCTTAACCACAGAAACATGATTAATATAGTTTTATAGCAAATCATCTTCCTTTATAGAAGATTGTAAAATAAACAGGTTTACAGTTTTGAGCTGCACTGAGACACAAGGGATGCTATAAACTGTTCCAATAACCCACTCTAGGTATATTGTAACATATCATTTTCAAATCCATCTGACTCGAGTGACCAAGAATGGTATTGGATATATTCTAAAGTACTTTTCTGGTTATCCAGAGATGGAATCCACCTATGTTTTCCAACAAACTGACCAATATTTTGAAAGCAGATAAAAAAAAAACCCTGCGGCTTCTACAATTCACATTGTTGCTCAGAGGAATTAATTATATCTGCTTCTAGTTGTGATGATAAAAAAAAAACCTGAATGTGGTGATATCATAATGTAAACCCTATCCTTTCATAGGTGTCCCAATGTTAGTTGGAAATACACAAGTCACAGTGTTCAAGTATGCTGCTCATTTCATTATTTGTCCCTGAAAATGGTAGTGGTTGTGGTTAGTTTACTTTCAGAAGGCATACTGAAATAAGTGAGCCAGATACAAACTCTAGTTTCTTATTGGGATTATGACTTTTGGTCTTAACTATAATCTTTAGTATAATCTACAGTTACATGTCCTGAAAACCTTGCCAGTAAACTGACTTACTGTATTATACACACATATTTGCAGTTGAACTTAGATGACAGAATAGAAGGTTGCTGGGAAAGGAGAATTGTAAGTTGATATTGTATTTTGGTGATATATATATATAGTTCCTGAGAATTTTAACTTCCTGTTTGCTTGCTCAAGGTTTTTTTTTAGAATCAGTGGTTCTAACTTTAAAGTGCTACAAAATCTGTATGGCATTATTTTAATAGTTAAAATATTAATTTAAAATATTAGAAAAATAGGATTAATAGCATATTAATAGATAAGAAGCTCCTGAAATGTGTAGAATTGAAATAGTCTGTTTTACATTTTTCATTGGTCTGTTTTCTTTATCATAGCTTTTTCCTCCTTTCCTTTCTTCTATTGTCATTTTGATAGCCAGGGACTCCAAAAGACAATGAACGAAGCAGATTTAAAAAGCCACCCACGCTCAATATTTCAGTAAGTGCAGATAAGATTCTGGGGAAAGAATGACAATAAATGATGTACAAAGCCCAGGATGGATGACATTAATTTTATTTTTCTGTGCTGATGCATTGTGGTATGTTAGAAACTTACTGTGAGGTTTCAACCTGACAGTAGGTATGCTTTGATCCAGTAGTTTTATTTAGTGATATTTCCATGGGTGCTAAAATTGAATAAGTACACATAATGAGCGCAGTCTATATTTCAAATAATTTTAGTTTAGAAGTTTAGTGTCGTGGTGAGGGACAAAAAAGCATGAAGATAAAAAGTATTTATAATGGTCATCATTTGTTAACTGTTACATATTTTAATGATGTTTTAATTTACCTTTATTATGGTACCTATTGGCACGACTTTGTACCAGATACGGATTTCTGCCTGCTATGTTTTCCAACAATATTTTTCTCTAAAAAGACTAGATAAGTAAATATATTGCAAAGAATGAGGAAGCTTTATATAAAAAGGGTTTGATAGTCCAATTGTGTTTCAGTTAAAGGCTGAAGTCTTCAGTACTTGAAGGATTGTCCTTAGTATGTTCTTGCTTGAACATTAAGATATGGGGGAGAATTCCTACATTAAGGGAGATGCATTATGTAAGGAGCATCCCAAGCTTACATGAACATGGAGCATTTTGTAGCACCAAATGAAGAGCTGTGGTGGCGCGGCAGTTAGAATGCAATATTGCAGGCTAATTCTGGTCTGATCCTGACTGGTTCAAGATTGACACAGCCTTCCATCCTTCCAAAGTCAGTAAAATGGGGACCCAGATTGTTGGGAGCAATATGTTGACTCTGTAAACCGCTTAGAGAGGGCTATAAAGCATTGTGAAGCAGTATATGAGTCTAAGTGCTGTTGCTGTTGCTACTGGATGCTTGGCAACTGGCATGTATTTATGATGGTTGCAGCTCCTAGGGTCCAGTGATCCACCTTTTGCGACCTTTCTGATAAGCAAACTCAATCGGGAAGTCAGATTTACTTAACAACCATGTCACTAACTTAATAACTGCAATGATTCACTTAAGAAAGGTCATAAAATGGGGGAAAACTCAATTATCTGTCTTAGCAACAGAAATTTTGGGTTCAGTTGTCAAAAGTTGAGGACTACCTATACATCAGGCAAAAGGGATTTCTTTATAGTATTCAGCTTATATTTCGTTTTTTGGGAGATGACTACTTCATAGTAAAGAGAGAACATCATTTGAACATGTAAAGTCTCAGATTCAAACCCTTGGCTTCCACAACTAAAAGAAATTTTCCAGTACTATATAGTACTATAAAGAGCCGAGGTGGCGCAGCAGTTAGAGTGCAGTACTGCAGGCCACTTTAGCTGACTGTGTTCAGCAGATCAGCGGTTCAAATCTCACCGGCTCAAGGTTGACTCAGCCTTCCATCCTTCCGGGGTAGGTAAAATGAGGACCCAGATTGTTGGGGGCAATGTAATATATATATATACATTGCTTACTGGTGTACACCGCTTAGAGAGTGCTTGCACTTAAAGCGGTATATAAGTCTCATAAATAAATAAATAAATAAATAAATAAATAAATAAATAAATAAATAAATAAATAAATAGGAGAGCTATTGCCAACCAGAGTAGTTAGTAATAGCCTTGATGTGCTAATACGATGGCCTGCTATAAAATATTTCTCTGTCTATACTGAGTTTATTTATATTGTTAGAGAAATCTGCCTGAATTTAAAGTTTAATCCTTCACTGATTTGTCTTTCTGATGTTTTAAAAGCATGTTCTTTAATTATGACCTGGAGAGTATTGTTGATAATGTATTGTTTCAGTATATATTTTTTTTAAATAGGTAGTAAAACCATGGCTTGAAAATGACCAGATATGGGTTTCATGGAACCACAGCATTGAAATTAATATTACCAATGAGTTTCTAATAAAATTAAGAGAACACAGCATAAAATTAAGGTTATGGGATACCAAGGAAAAGGTTTGTTCAAAAGCCAGATTTTGTAAACTAAAGAGTAATGTACCACTATCAGATCAAGGAGAATTTGAAGGTAAGTATATTTAAGACATTACTACTCTTGAGTCAGTCTCTGGCCATATAATAGAATTAACATTTTTGATTTTTACCTGTACTACACTCTTCAGCTATGTATCCCTGACTCTGGAAGAAACTGATAAGTGTTAGGAAGTGTTTAATGAAATTTTTTAGTTGGAAATGGTACTATCAGACTTCTGATATTTTGCTACCATAAACAAAATTCTCCTATAGTGATAAGTGTATAGTTACTTTATTAAAGTTAGCTAGATCTTCATCCAAACCAACTGAGGTAAAATCGTGTCCATCAACTATTATCCAGCTTTCTTTAAAGACTTCCTAAGAAAAGACTAAAGATTTACAGAATGTTTATTTTGATCTTGACAATTCTGTCCTACATAAGGGAATTGTTAAAAGTATACAACAAGTATACAACAATATCTATATCCTGCTTGGTAGAGTCTCTGGACTGATATCAAAGCTATCAGCATAATTCCTGTTTACTTACTTATTTATTTTCTCTTAATAATATAAGCACATAGTAAACAAATTGTTAGCTGTGAATGTAACTTTGTACTGCTTTTTTCTATTCAAGGTAATGTCAAGAATATGGTTTTGTATCAGAGAGAATTCTTACAACGTAATGAAGCCAAACCCAGTATCACAAAAGTTAAACCACTAGCACCCTTTGTGCGAAAACAGACAGATGCTTTGTCAGGTATGATACTGTGAACATAAGACTCCATTATCATTTATACAAGTACTTTGATACAGTATATACGAAAACAATGAGCTTCAGCTGTGATCTTATTTCATGCTCTGCTGTTCCTGTGGTAACAGTTAATGTAAAAGGCAGCAATTAATTGTTTGCCTGTTTTTAATTTCTTTCCTATATAAAAAATAATTCTGTTTCAATACGAGTACCATGTTACAATGAGATCTCATTAATTTCTAGAAGTTAGTTCTTAATTTGGGTAAGATGCTTTAATGCAAAAATTGTTATACAGGCTTGTTTGCCATGTACTAATTACATGCTGTTGGGTTCTGTCTCTTGTCCAAACACGGTTCTGGCAAAGGTATCTAACTAAATTTATAAATTTATGTGATTAGATGACATTATAGGCTGTTTTTAAAAATTTGTTCTCATATTGATTCATATAAGCCATTCTGATTTAAAAAAGGATGTACTTAAATTAATTCAAGTACTTCTCTGCCTGACACTTGTTTTTAAATTCAGCATACTTATATGTTGTAAAAAAGCAATTTCCCTTTTCTTGCTCCCTTAAAGTAAACTCATTAGGAGAACAGTTGATAAAAATGTGTTTTATTTAAACAGATTTCAGCTTTTTTAACTCTACAAATGTATCCATTCAGTTGCTGTTTGAAGAACACAGCTTTTGTTCAAGTCCTGACCTAATTTCCACTGAGTCGTTGCCTTTCTGCTGAGCGTAGTATCCTCTGTTTCCTGCTTAAAATTGTGCTATCATTTTGGTGTGATACATGAGATGTGGATAAACATTTCTTAAATTGATGAACTTCTTAGAGACTACATTAAGTTAGAATTTTCTAATCACCCATTATATTCCTATTTAAACTGTTCATAGAGCAAACACATTTGCAATGGTGGGTGAAATCCTGAATGATGTGAGGGGATTTTTTTCCTCTGAAAATTTGCTTTGGAAATTTGAAAATCTCTGGAGAAGATTTTGAGGATGTACTGGAGCTGCAAGGAGAGGGCATCCTTCCTTCCAAGATAGGCCCAGCAAAACTAGGCTCTGTCCATGAAACTCTCTCAGTGAATTTCAGGCAAAATTCCAAAATGATCCTCAGTAGACAGTGTTTTTATTTAAAAGGCACAATATGAGAGAGGCTTCTTTTCAAATCCATAAAGGAACTTAAAGTTAAAAACAGCCCTTTGAATTAGATCAAGAACTCTATTTTGGGTTCCAGTGCAGGCAGTCCCTAACAAGATCCAGTGAAGATAGAAGAACCTTAACAACAATTGCTCATGTTACTTAGTTCCGCTCAGCAGCCTCTCAGGAACCTTCTGGATGCCATGAGCCAGGAGTAGTCCAGAAAAGAGGTGAATCAGTTGAATTTCTCTGACAGATTTTCAGCTTTTGTTGAGTGTTTCCCAATGTTGGGGACCCATTTTACAGTTCTTTGAAGTGCTGTGTCTTTATCGTTTTTTTTCTCTTTTGATTGCACTTTTTCACGAGAGAAATCACAAGTCTCTTAACCAGATGGGTCTATTAATTTATCACACTTATAATTCAAGTAGACAAGTCTAGAAAGATACACTAGTTCAGTTATGGGACAGGGCTGTGCAGAATTTCGAATTTGAAGTGAAATTCCTTCAGAGCATACAGGAAGTGCTGTACAACTCTGCACGCTAAAGTTAAATATATTAATCCTTTTTACAACCCCATAGTTTTCTGGTGATTCCTCTGCCTTTTTTCTTGCATAACATTTCTCTTTATGCAATGTCACAGATGCCAAAAAATACAACTGAAAAAAAATGAATATCTGGAATCTCACAAAGCTCATAGAACACAGAGAAATCTTTAAGATTTGGCTGTATTATGACATTTTGGCTATTTTAGGGTTTTTTTTTTTTAATAAAATGGAGATTGCTGATTACCATCTATTGGTATCATATATCTGATTATACATAGAGAAACTGTGTTCCTGACTTTGATTTATTCCAAATGTTTTAAAGCAAGAATTAATCTTTGATTAAAATTATGCCATTTTGTACTACAACCTTCTTAGAAAGAGGTTTTCTACATTTTAAAAAAATGCTACTCAATTATTGGTATTCAAATCTTACTCCAACTTAACTTGGGAGAATATCCCATTCAGTATACTGATAGTTACTGTATTCGTGAAAACACATGATTTGTATTACGCTGTGTAAGTTTACTAATCCATCACCAGCCTTTTACAATATATTACCTGTCTTCCTACTTCAGCTGTGAGCAAGCGCATGGAAAATGAACCCAAAGCTAGTGATCAAAAATACTCTCGGAAATTTAGTTTTCCACAGCCTCTTGTAAAATCTGATGATTCGAACCGTTCACTGAGGTAAGTCTGTAGGATGTGCAAATATTAGAATATCCTCTGATTAATTGTGACACATATTCACTCTGCATATATCAATACAATTAAAAATGGCTCTTCCACTTCTGATGCTATGGTCATGCTTCATTTTCAGTTAAGTGAAAGAGGTGTCTTAGCATGACACCTTTTGAACTTCTGCAAACAAATAACAGTGTGAGTGTTGGTGACACTGCCTTTTTATCTAGTCTCTGCAGCTGCTCAGTTTAGAGAGAGCTAAAGGTGAACTCTTTCTTTGACATCATATAGCAGATGGATTTGGGTGTTTCAACCAACTTTCAGTTTGGAAAATTTTGATATTCACAAACTATTTTATTCAGCCTTATTTTCCCTTCACATTGTAGAAACTTTGGCTTGTTTCAGTGCCTTACTACTAAATGGAGGTTCATGTACTGAGAGATGGTGTCACTACAGTTAGAATGAACCTGGGACTCTATTGCATACATTTGTTTTGCTGTCCTTTCTACACCAATTTATGTGCAGACATTTCTTTGCTGTCTAACAACATCTGAATCTGTTACGAGATTGTGTATATATGCTCCTATATCTGTTTAGCAGTAATAAAACAAGATAAAGTTTCAGTGGCTTGCATATTATTTGTGATATTTTTATACTTCTCAGTTTTGCAAAGCAGGTGATACTTGCTATAGCTGCAAAAGAGTTAACTAAGTCAATTCTTCCTTACATCTAACTGCTTAGGTTCTTACTTTGATTCCCCACCCCTCTGGGTTCTGCATTTCACTCTTTCATTGTTCACCTATTCCTCATCCCTACCCCCAATTCCTTGTTTAGTTGATAATTTTCTGTATTCCAGATTCTTAAGACAAACAATTTGCTTCAAGGTCGTTTCTTCAACAGGAGCCCTCCTTGTGCCAATTAGCAGCCTGTCATTTAAGAATATCTGGAAGCTTCGGCTGGTGCACATGGTGTGCATAGTTATTATACAGTTCTCCAAGAATTGTACACATTACACTGCTCCACCAGCTGCGTTGGTTGTCAGTGTGCTTCCAGATCTAATTCAAGCTGCAACCTTTAAAGCCATACATGGCATGGGACCAAGTTATTTCTGCTGTACCTCTCCCCAGTAATATCCACCCATCTCAACCAGTCTGGCAGAACTGGCATGTTATGAGTCCTATTAGCCAGGGAGTTTTATTGATTGGGATCTAGGAGGAAAGCTTTTTCTGCTGTGGCTCCTCACTTTGGAAAACCCTCCGAGGTGAGTCTGGGACCAACCTGGTTGGCTTTCCGGAAGACCTTCAAGACATGGTTTTGTTAACTGGCCTGAATCCCATGATAAGCAGGAGCCTGCTACAATGGTTACATAATAGTTACCTCTTTGTTTCGGGTGCTTTTTTGCCATTTTGGTTGTTTTTATCTTTTAAATTAGTTTTGGTTGTATTTTCAATTGATGTATGTCTATTTGGATTGATTTATTGTGTATGCCACCCTTATGGGAGATGAACAGTTATATAAATGTAATTAATCATGACATTTTCTCTCAATTTGTTGTCTGCTGTCCTGAAAAGCCACTCGTCTCCATGCAAAAAGTTTTAGGTACATGGAATTTTGCATTTATTTGGCACCTGTCTGGCAGAATTATTGACTTTTGTATGTATTTATTGTTTTTTTTTAATTTGCCTGATGATCGGATTAGGGACAGATTCCAGAATTATGAAAACAAAAACAAATAATACAAAGATTTTAAAAAAAACATAATACATTAATAAGCAGCCCAGATGTAATAGTGGGGTTTCAGGGGGAAGCATGGCTGTATAAAGACATCTGTATGAAAGTGGAGTCGATGACTGCAACAAAGACCAAAGTAGTGCCAGGGTACACTGGTTCTTCAGAACCCGTCCAGATAAGAGGGGGGACAATCGCCTACATGCCCTCAGGAGGGCTGCTACTTGTGAGGAGACCACAGGACAGGGGTCTTCCCCAGGTCTGAGCACTGGAGATGAAGGGATTAGCTATTTTACTTTCAACCCCAATGGAATCTTTTTAAAGGGCAGTACATTTGCAAGCCTCACTTTCTAATCACTTTTGAAAATTTGCCCGAATGCCAAGCTTTCAGGAATTCTGTAGTGTTTTTTTTTTTTTAATATAGCTTGGTTTAGGATGGTCATGTTTCTCAGTTGAAATTAATGCTGTGACATTGAGTGTTTATCATATCTTCTGATTGATGTTCATGGACGCGTTCTGCTAGTCTTCTGCATGTCTGGCCTACATAGTGGCTATTACAATCTATAGAATAAGAATAAGAATAAGAATAAGAATAGAATAGAATAGAATAGAATAGAATAGAATAGAATAGAATAGAATAGAATAGAATAGAATAGAATAGAACTGGAAGGGTCCTTGGAGGTCTTCTAGTCCAGCCCCCTGCTCAAGCAGGAGAACTTATACCATCTCAGACAGGTTGTCTAGTCTTTTCTTAAAAATCTCCAGTGATGGAGCGCCCATGATTTCTGGGGGGTAAGTTGTTCCACTGGTTGATTGTCCTCATTGTCAGGAAGTTTCTCCTTAATTCCAGGTTGCTTCTCTCCTTGACCAGTTTCCAACCACTGTTTCTCGTCCTTCCCTCTGGTGCTCTGGTGAACAACCTGACCCCCTTTGCCTTGTGACAGCTCCTCAGATATTGGAACACTGCTATCATGTCTCTCCTATTTCTTCTTTTCTTTAGACTAGCCAAACCCAAGTCCCATTGTCGTTCTTTGTATTGTAGATGATTTCTGGGTTGTTGTTTTTTTGAGCTACTGGATCCTTTGGGTTGCTTAAGATGTTTTGAAGGGTTTTAGTTGTAATAATCTGTTGAGTATTTCTGAGATGTTTTTGATATATGGCAGTGTTGTTGTTTTCATAGCTTTTATAGATAAAATCAATAAAATTTAGCACACACAGAACACAGTAAATAAAAGTCTAGGAGCTAAAACAGAAAGAACAGCTTCTACAGACTCTTGAAACAGCTGTTCTACCTATTTCCCTTTAACTTGATTTGCCTTCACTCTGGAAATTTGAGATTGTGGGAAAGATGTTAAAATCATTTCACATCTCTGTAAGCAGATTATACCTCTCATTTGGAAATAAACGAGATTGGGGGATCTTGAAGTTTTGGAAATAGATTATTGCAAGGTGCTAAAATTATTTTGATTTTTTTTTTGAGAAAATATTGAGGGATGTTGCTGTTTTAAGATTTCTTGATTTACTAAATTTCTTATTTTACACACAGCTTAATTTCCCACTGTATAGATCAAATATATGTTTCTTAGTCACATATTTGCATTTTTTCCTAATGTATTTTTTTTTCACTTTTATTTCCCCAACAGGATAACAAGCCAATCCTACATGTTAACAGTTAAAGATAACTATAATAAAAGTACTACAATACTATTATCCCATTTTTGTAGACATATAATAAGTTAATGTTGCCAAGGAAATAGACTTAAAATATTCCTTGGCAAACAATTTGGATGATGTGAGTTGACATTTCTGAAAATCTGACAGTAATAAGATTTGTTGCCAAAGGAAACAGCTTCTTTTATCACACTTGCATTTCAAATGATACTATGCCAATCAGTGTAGAAATATTTCTTCATTGCTGCAAAGAGATTTTCTTCCATAGTTACTCTGAGCTGAGTGCTGAAAACTAACTCCTGTTTAAAATAATTCAATAGCTCTTAAGCCATTAATGTTTTTACAGAGACTAGCTATATCATTATTAGCCATTATCAAATGACTGGTATAGCTAGAAAGCAGAGGAGGGGTTAGTGTGAGTTGATTTCACCTGTCATATGTATTTATACCTCACATCTATAAAATGGAGTATGCATTCCAAGAATGCATATTATTTTTTTGGTGGTCTCTTTTAGAATAAGGAAACCAGAACTCACTGTCTCCTGCTTTCTAGTCTGCCTTAACCATTAAATTAAGCTGGTATGTTGATAGAAGCTGTTTGTTTACCAGTGCCTGCAAATGTGTGACATGTTCACTAACTCTTACTGCTAGAAATCCTCAGTTGTCTAGTTCAGTGTTTGTCAACCTTGACAATTTTAAGGCATGTGGACTTCAACTCCCAGAATTCCACAGCCAGCATTGCTGGCTGTGGAATTCTGGGAGTTGAAGTCCACATGCCTTAAAATTGTCAAGGTTGACAAACACTGTTAGTTGATTAGTCTACACTCCCAAATGTTCTGTTCTGGAGCTTTTCCTGAGAACCACAGGCATGCAGAGATTTTGAGTGGCTCTTTCTGTAGAGTAAGAAAAATGACCGTGACAGAGATAGGCGTGATTCTGTTACTATTTATAAATGTAGTGTTAGCTTGATGTGGAATTGATTTATTGGTTTGCTTTACATAGTGGGGCTGACATCAGTCTTGCACATACAGTGTTTTACCATCACTACCACCCAATTCTCATGTGAATTAAAGAATTGCCATGTAAGTCTTTTGTGCATTCTTTCTCTTGTTTTGGACTTAAGACATGTTTTTTTTCCCTTGTAGATTTGTTAAATGATTTGGTCCATTTCTCTCGAGGTCACGATCCTTACTTTCTAGAATTTCACAACCCCTTTGAGTGTTTTCAGCATTCACACACATGTCTAATAGATTTGAGGGAGTCTCCAAGTCTGCTGTGTTGTGCTGAGTGTGAGCTTATGGAAGTTGTAGTTTTTACATAGAGAAAAGAGATCAGGTTGGAGAAGGCAGGTCTATACATTTCTCTTCACAAATTGTGTTCTTGAGAATTATCTGAGCTAGTCTGTCCTGCGTTAACCTCCTCAAGATAGTTATTAGGTTATAGGATTTGTTTTGTCACACCTGGAGAAGAACGTGGATTTCCAGAAATAATCGTTTTAAGCAACACATCACCTTTTTGTTCAATACTTATAAAAAAAGCCAAAGAGCAATCAAATAAAACAAAAGTGTTTTCATGTCAAATTCTTAGCAAAAGCTAGATATTTAGAATTA